AGATTTACTGTCAAATAAAAATAGACTATCCAGTTCTTAATTGCTTATTTTCCATTTTTTCTAAAAATTCTCATCATGGAACCAGAAAAAAGTAATAAGCAAGACCAAATATGAGGCAGAACTCGTGTGTGCATCTCCTGCAAGCAACTGCACACCTTCTGATTGGAGGTTCAGTCTCACAAGACAGAAATTAAAAACTTACAATTTCAAGAAAAAAATGCAGCATAGTTTTAACACAGCAACTTTGGAGAGTGTCTTAAAAAAAAAAAAAAAACAGTTGTTTCTTCATCACCAAAATATTTATGTCCAGTACCGCTACTTAGCATGTAAACCTATGCCAAAATTACTGCAACAGGCCCTTTAACAGCCATTCCTCTCCTGTAATTGGTCCTGGTATAGGAGAAACCACTGGTTTGCTCAGCATTAACTGCTTAAGTCTTTTCTGTAAATGATATGAGCTTAAACAGGCACTAGAATGACAGAACCTAAATTGCTGCGGGTCACGTTTTTCAAATTCTAAAAACTTCAGACACATATATTGCACAGTGGAGACAGGACTGGCTCAAACTCCAGTTCGACTTTGAGAGTTTCTGTGGTGTATGCTAGTTGCTCTTACCCTAAAATGAGACCACCCCAAAGAAGCTTCATTTACTCTGGTTTTTCTCCACATTACCATCCAATACATTATCTATACATCTATATACTATAAGACATATGTTTGCTTACTTCTAATTTGTCCCATATATACCCTGGCTAGAATGCAACCCTCATGAGGACAGATTTCATGGTTTTTTCTTACTTCTAATGCCCATTGCCTAAAACAATCTCTGGCACATGAAAAATGCTCAATAGACATTTGTCGAATGAATGAATAAATGAATGAATGAATGAATGGTTTTAAATCCTTCATGAAAAAGATAGACTCTTAGCACTTTTGCCACACAGGATCTCTAGCCACATTTAGAAATAAATAAGCAAGTTGGATTTATTTTATTATTATTATAATAACTAAAGTGTATTATATGCTTACTCTGTTCGAAGTGCTATACATGTATGATTTTATTGAATTATCGCAACAGTACTATAAAAGAGGCACCACTATTCATTCTACTCTATAAATGAAGAAACTATGGCACATCTCCCAGAGTCACCTGACTAATGAATGAAGAGCCAGGATCCAAACTTAGGCAATCTTGCTAAATTCTCAACTATTGTAAATATTAGATATAAAATTGGCTCTCACAAGACATTACCAGAGAACTTGGAGACTTCACTTAATGGTCATTTTCTGTAAGTTCTCACAAGGGAAGGTGTACCTATAGTTGTTGGCTGGTATGATGGGAGTTGGTTCTGTCGCTCAGGGTGCTGCTTAGACACTTGTGGTCCTGGGCCCAGTAAGCTGTGGCTCAAGGTGGTAGAATGTGCCTGCCCCCACTCCATGCGCCCGTCCCACCTCCACAGTAATGTCTTAGAGTTAGGGATCTGGTGTGGGAGTCGGGGTGAGAGGGCACAAGGAGATGCCCTCTGACACTCAAGAAAAGACCCTACCCACTTCCACCCAGAAGGTGGGACATCTAGGCCCCTGCCTTGGTTCAAGCCCCTAGCCTGCCAAGCCTTCTGGTGCCCACGCACCCTGATACCAACCTTTTTCCATAAAGAATGATATTTTTTTCTTTTTTTTTTGGGGGGGGGTGGGCCTGGAAAGATCTTTATTCATCTGGTTTAACAGTATTTTCCAAAGGGAGAAGATTGCTGGATTTCAGGTGAAAATGCAGAAACATTTGCACAGATGATAGCAAGAGAGTGAAGAGTATTTCTGGCTCTAGTTTCCTATCTTCCAGTCCAGAAAAGGGGAAAGGGGAGAGAAAGGTGTGTCAATGGGAACAAGCACTCATACTCTAGAGGATAATTTCTTTTCACTTATAATTTCAAAGATAAAGCAACATAAAATATAAGGCAAAAGGAAGCTGGTCTTCAAGAATTTGTGTCCAAGTTTTGACTAGTATAACAATCAATTCAAGCCTTCAAGCCTAGAGTTACTCAAAGGTGAATCATGAAAAAATAAATTTATTTCAAACAGGTCTGGTGATAAATGTGCTACAGCAAAGGCTGGTTGTAGCAAATCACTTCATTTCAAACCTGCTTTGATATATAAATTAGACATTATTTGGTACATTTTGATTCAATCTAGCATTATACCAGTTTATGCATTTATTGTAGACTCTATTTTAGTATTGGAGGTTAAATTTTCGTAACTAAAAAATGACAATGACAGTTATAACTGAGGCAGTAAGTTGTGATATTCATTCCCCAGTATTGCTTTAAAAAGATACCCCTAGGTTGTTAAGAGAAAATCTGATTTCATCCAAATGTATTATTTACTTGGAATTCTTCAGTCATCATCTACTATTGACTTGATTGTCACGCCTCTTATTTGACCCCAATCAATTAAACACCAGTGTTTTTCAACTCTTTGGCTAAGGGCAATTTTTTCTCCTACTTCTGTGCACACAGGATTAGTCAAAATGATTTTACTCAAATCAGCCCTGACTGCACTAACTCTTCCTCCTGTCAACAGGGATCTTGTGTTCACCATAAGCACTTCATTCTTAGACAACTTTTGCACCTTTGCTGCTTTCCTGTCTCCTTCAGTGCATACACCTAGAAGCCGTCTAAGCAAGAAATAGATTTCCAACTCTGTGAAAATCTCAGGTAAAGCTCCAAATGCATGGAGTACCTGTCCCACCATTCTGTCAGCCTAGCACAAAGTGGATTCAATTTTTGTTCCAATTCCAGTAAGAACTCCTGGAGCAGCATACTGAAGATCATTATGTTCCACAGTGATACAATTTTGGAAAAGATTGGTTTACACATGAGTTTTCCTTCACTATCTTTGGAAATACTAGGTCTGACTTTATTTCCTAGCCCACCTTTAACACTCCTTTTATAATACTACCACCAGCTACAACCCCCTTAAGGTCATCAACTTCATAGCCAGGTTGGTTGACATCAAAGGACCTAATAACAATGAGTTGGAGTTCTGAAGTAAAGTCTCTTAGAGGTACTGGAATTTTCTTTACTATATACTCAAAGACAACTTCAGTATTGTATTTCAGCTGAGCAGACATTGGAATAATAGGAGCTACTTCTGCTACTGTACCTTGCACAAATGCAAGGATCTGTTCACATTGTTCTTTAGCCTGGCTTTCTTTTACAAATCAATTTTATTTTATAGAATCAAAATATGCTTCAGTTTCATGATTTCTATAGCAGCCAGGTGTTCATATGTCTGAGGCTAAGGACAAGACTCATTACCAGCTATCAACAGAAGAGCTGCATCCATCACGGCTGCACCGTTCAGCATAGTAGCCATCAAAATATCGTGGCCAGGACAGTCAACAAAGGAAACATGTTTAACTAATTTGAAGTTCCTTTTGGTCCCCAGAACCTCTGTAGGAAACTCATCAGGTGTATGCTTCCACAGGATTCATAACATTCTGGCCGAGGACAACTTGGGTCATCAAGTTTATAAATCTTAACATCAGCATATCCAAGCTTGATTGCAATATTTCTCTCTAGTTCATTTTTGGACCTGACAGTGTGAACTCCAGAAATAGCTTTTATAACTGTGAGTTTCCCATGAGCTACATGACCAGTTGTACCTATATTAATTGTGGATTGTCTGCTGATAACTTCGTGTGAAAGTGGGGTAAATTTGGTAACATTCAAGTTGGCAAGATCCTGGCGAGAAAAATGCGGTTGCCCCAAAGTCACTCTAGCCTCGCCTCCCGCCAACTTGCCTGGAGAGAAAGGAAGTCGCCCCCGCAGCTCCCTGACCTTCCACAGGCCCTCTAGTGTGGAGGGCGGTGAGGAGCAAAGGTGTGAAGGCCGACTGGGGCCCAGGCCTGGGAAAGGAAGGTGACTGCTGCAGCACGGTCTCATTCCTTGCACTTCTCTCCGCTTTGATTCATACGGTACCTACTAGCAGGCTGTCTGGAAAACACAAGGCAAAGTTCCCGGATCTATTCATCGCAGACATGTTGGTTATTTGCACAGGCAGTGCAGAGGTCAGCCCCGTAAAAGGCCCCTTGCTAGGTGGGTGAAACTAACATAGTGGCGCTGTAATGGAGACGTCATTTCCGTTTCTCCTGGCGATGGCGGAAGGGTTTTCCACAACCTGGGAATTTTACCCAGGGTGTGAAAAATGACATGTGAACGTCTTTCTTTACCAAGTTCTCTAATAATCTGGAATGAGATTTTTCAACAAGAGCTATGTAAAACTCAATATATAAAAGAGATAAAAATTGAAATAGTTGAGTTGCAGCAGGACAGATAAACAGCTCTATCATTTTCTACCTGTCTTTCTCTCCATTTCCAAAGGCAGTCCACCTCTCCCCTCTTCTAAGGACAGGCTGAACATAGCTGAACGACCACTCAAGGTACATTGCACAGAATGAGCACTCAGTAACTATCAGGGATTTGATTATAAATACTTTAACATGTTCACAGTCATATTCAGTTCTGTTTTACTCGGCTTTGGGAAGCAGTGTCACACACTCTGTTGTACAGCACTCTTAAGTGGCCTTTGACCACAGAATCAGCTGATTTCACTCAACTTGGTGTCCTGCTTTCTCCAGCAAAACAACTTTGAGCAAATTTTCATGTGCTTCCTGGCAAAAAGAGTTCTCTTTATATAGTTTATCCAATTTTCTATTGGATTGTTAATCTAATTCTCTACATATTTTTGGATTAATAAATCTGGTTTATGCATCGCAAATATTTTCTCCCAGTCTTTGACTTTTCATTTCACTTTTGATGCACAAGTTTTCATTTTCTCTATAATAAAACGTCCCAGTCTTTCTTTTATAGAATTTGTTTTATATCTTAAAATTATGACCCTACCTTGAAGTCATAAAAATGTTTTCCCATTATAATTAAAATGCCAGAGGTTAAAGGCAAGAAGAGAATCTTAAAAGCAGCAAGAGAAAACCAGCTAGTTACAAGTGTATTCTCATAAGATTGTCATCAGATTTCTCAAAAGAAACTTTATAGGTCAAAAGGGAATGCACAAAATATTCAAAGTGATTAAAAAAAAGACCTACAACTAAGAATGCTTGAAGCAGCAAGGCTATCAATTAAATTCAAGGTAAGATAAAGTGAGAGACCAAGCAAAATAGCATAAATGATAGAGGCTTTGTTCATCTGCTCTTGTGACCACATCAAAGTTCTGATGAAAACACGGAGCAAAGAGCAAGCAGAGTCGTCTGGGAGTCTAAATGAACAGAAGCACTTCAACTAGGGAGAGAAATAAGACATCAACCTGTAACGGTGTAAGGCAAGAGGGAGTGAAGACGCAAGGCTGCCCCCTCCCCAGTGACTGGGTGGGACAGAGGCTACAGCAGTAGCAGCTGGCAGCTACAGACTCCTCTTAAAGGAGCTATATCCACCACTGAACTTTTGTGGTGACAGACTCTGAGCACCAGAGCCGGGTTGGCTGCTCGCAGGCAGCAGGGACTCACAGAGGAACAATGAACTGTCAGAGTGAGAACCTGAGGGAAGGCTTTCTCCCGGACAGAAGTCCATTGTTCCTCTGTCGAGCCTTCCCCACTCCCAGTGTGCTGATTCAGGCGCAGTCATAGCTGAGACATCATCAAACTGGATAACAGAGGTTGCTCCACCCAGAGAATTCTCTGAGTCTCTGCCTCACCTAATTCATAGCCCTAACCAAGCCACATTTAATTGTGTCCCCAGCAAGTCCTGTGTCTCTTGCTGGGCAGCTCCAAGACCAACATTGGTGGCAGCCGACCTCAGTTTCTGGCATGGCCTCTTGAGGCAACTATAAGCACAGCATCTGTGGATTGCTGGCTGAATCTTAACAGGTGAACTCAAAGGAGCACAGGCTGGGGCTAAACTTGGCCTGCAGCTAAAACCTTCTCAGGACTGTGCCACTGAACACTTACTACACAAAGGCACACTAATGAGACTGGGAGACTTAGGAACTTTGCTTAGTACATAGAAACAGACACAGAAAGGCAGCCAAAATGGGAAGCAAAGAAGTAAAAACCATACGAAAGAACAGAACAGAGATCAAGGAAAACTAGAGTCAAGCAATCTAACAGATGCAGAATTCAAAATGCTGGTTATAAAGATGCTCAGTGAACTTAGAAGAAGTGTAGATGAATTCAGTGAGAACTTTAACAAAGAGATAAAAAAAATGGAAATGGAAATTTTATAAAAGAGAATCAGTCAGAAATGAAGAATATGTTATTTGAGATGAAGAGTATTTTAGAGGGAATTAACAGAGTGGGTGAAGAAGAGGATCAAACCACTGATAAAGAGGATGGAGAAGCCAAGGACACACAATCAGAACAGCAAGAAAAAAAGAAGCCAAGAATATCATAATAATTTAAGGAGCCTATGGAACAAAATTAGCAAAAATATCCATGTTATAGGGGTACCTGTAGGAAAAGATGGAGAACAAAAAGTTGAAAAACTATTTGAAGAAATAATAATGGATTACTTCCCTAACCTGATGAAGAAAATAGACATACAACCCAGGAAGCTCAGTGAGTTCTAAAACATATGAACCCAAAGAGGCCCACACCAAGACACATCATAATTAAAATGCCAAAGATTACATTCAAAAAGAGAATCTTAAAAGCAGCAAGAGAGCATGAGAAAAGCAGTTAGTTACCTACAAGGGAACACCCATAAGATTGGCACCTGATTTCTCAGAAGAAACTTTGCAAGACAGAAGGGATTGGTAGGACAGATAAAGAGCTTCCCAGACAAAAATAAGCTAAAGGAATTCCTCACTGCCAAACCACTATTACAGGAAATGTTAGAGGGACTACTTTAAGAAGAAAAACACGTAACATAAACATGAATAAAGATTAGAGTCAGGCAATCTAACAGATGCAGAATTCAAAATGCTGGTTATGAAGATGCTCAGTGAACTTAGAAGAAGTGTAGAACTTAGAAGAACTTAGAAGAAGTAAACTAACCAAATGGATAGTTACGAAATAGACTGGCACCTGATTTCTCAGAAGAAACTTTGCAAGACAGAAGGGATTGGAAGGACAGATAAAGAGCTTCCCAGACAATAAATAAGCTAAAGGAATTCCTCACTGCCAAGCCACTATTACAGGAAATGTTAGAGGGACTACTTTAAGAATAAAAACACATATCATAAACATGAATAAAGATTAGAAATAACTACATATCTATCAATAAGTACCTCAGATGGAAAAGAATTAAGTGTTCCAACCAAAAGATAGAGTGGCCGAATGGATAAGAAAACAAGATCCCTATATATGCTGCCTACAAGAGACTCACTTTAGATTTAAAGACACACAGAGACTAAAAGGAAGGGGAAGGAAAAAGATATTGTCCTCATGGACCTAGAGGGTATTGCAATGAATGACGTAAGTCAGCAAAAAAAGACAAATACTACACCATTTCACGTACATGTGCAATCTAAAGAACAAAATAAACAACAACAACAAAAATGAAGACAAACTCATAGATACAGAGAATATTTTAAGGGCTACTAGATAGGAAGGGTGTTAGGGGATGGTGAAAAAGGGCAAAGTGATTAAGAAGCACAAATGGATAGTTACAAAATAGTCATGGAGATATAAAGTGCAGCATAAGGAAAATAGTCAACAATGTTGCAATAAATATGTAAGGGGGAAGAGGGATACTAGATTTGGTGGAATAGTCACTTTGTAAGTTATATAGCTTTCTAATCACTTATGCTGTACAACTGAAACTAATATTATATGCAACTATAATTGAAAACTCATTGAATTGTACAATGTAAATATGAGCAACTAATTATCATATTTCAATAAAGCTGGGGGAAAATTTTTTTAAATAAGATAAAGAGCTTCCAAAACAGGAAAAAGCTAAAGAAATTCATTACCACCAAGCCAGTAATACAAGAAATGTTGAAGGGACTTCTTTAAAAGGAAGGGGAAGAAAAAACTAATATAAATATGAATAATAAAATGACAAAAACTATATACCTATCAATAAACACTTTAAATGTAAATGGATTAAATGTGCCAATTGAAAGACATAGGATATCTGAACAGATAAGGAAACAAGACCCATACATATGCTGTCTAAAAGAGATCACTTCAGACTGAATGTGAGACACACACAGATTGAAGGTAAAGAGATAGAAAAAGATATTTCATGCAAAAGAAAATTTTAGAAAGATGGGGTAGCAATACTTATATCAGACAAAATAGATTTTAAAACTATAATAAGAGGTTATAATAAGAGACAGAGAAAGATATTACATAATGTAAAAGAACACTCCAATAAAAGAATATAACCCTTGTAAACATTTATACACCCAAAATAGGAGCACCTAAATAATACATTCTATGAATATTTCATTGTGTGTTCACCACCCAAAGGTAAATTTCCTTCTGTCACCATACATTTGACTCCCTTTATCCTTATCTACCTTCTCCCCTACCCAATTTCCCTCTGGTAACCACTACACTGTTGTCTATGTCTACGAGTTTTTGTTTGTTTATCTTGTTTGTTGCTCTCAGTTTTATATACCACATGTAAGTGAAATTATATGGTTTTCAACTTTTTCTGTCTGACTAATTTTGCTTTGCACAATATTCTCAAGAGCCATCCATGTTGTCACAAATGGCAATATTTCATATTTTCTTATGGCTGAGTAATAGCCATTGTATATATGTATCACATCATCTATCCAATCATCTATCCAAGGGCACTTCAGTTGTTTCCATGTCTTGGGCACCATGAATAATGCTGCAATAAACACCAGGGTGCATATATCTTTACAGATAACTCTTTTCAAAATTTTTTGGGCAGGTACTCAGAAGAGGGATTGCTGGGTCATATGGGAATTCTATTCTTAGTGTTTTGAGGAACCTCCATACTGTTTTTCATGGTGG